GAGCCATCACTGAACTGCTTGCAGAACTTGCCTGGACTATGTATCACTTGTATGCATTGTGAACTATCTGTTGGTGCAGCGACTTGTGGTAGTGCTGGAGTATTTTTGCTGATGGTGTCACCGGTGGTACAATTTTTCAAAGGAGCCCTCAATTGGCTTAGTGTCATGGCATTTTGCATCCTCCTCCCTTCTACTAGTGATGGTCTAAAATTTGGGGGCCAACAGAGGTGAGGCAAAGAACCTCACCCCCCCACTGGTGCAAAGACCTATCCACAGGTATGGCTGTATGCTGGACCGGTAGTCAGTGACGGGTATGATCCAATTGCAGTGGTACCAACCTAAGACAGGAGGCTGACGCCTAGAGGTCAGCTCATCCGATGACGGGTAAGGACCATATGTTGAATTGGACAACCTAACAGGCACGGTCCCTAAGCCACATGCTGTTGTTTAATTAAACCGAAAGGGGGAGATGTTGAGAGCCACGGCCGAGTCTGTATGGCCCCTGGCATTTTGCCAACAGTATTGATTGACAGGCGAGGCATTACTATCCGCCTCTGCCGCTACTTTTGAGTTCTCGCACTATTTTGGAGTTCTCGTGGGGATTTCCGGGGATTCCCCGAGAGTTCCCATTGGTTGGGGAAGTGCAGGAGGAGGGATTTCCGGGAGAGATATTTGCAGCTGGGGGGTTCCTGGACTAGCCGCGTGGCATTCGGGAGAATTCCCCAGGAGCGTGTGTGAGGTTTTTTCTTGCAGTTAAAAATAAAGTTTGTTCCTGCTTCAGTGGCTCGTGATTTGTGCCCAGCTAGACAGCGGCAGGGTCCAACAACTATCTGAAGGCCCCTGTGTGGACCAGCTGCTGTGTCCCTTTGGGGCTGGACAGGAGGGCTGATGACTTCCCTTCACTCCCTTCCCAGTGACCCCTCAGGTGCCATCCAAGGAAACCATCTGCAGCCAGGCCCACCTTGCCAGCCTAAGGCTGTCTGATTATTGCCCAGAGCTCACACTGGGCAGAGTCCACCATCCGACAGGCAGCCAACCATGTCAGGGTATACAGGAGGCCGGTGACCAAGACCAGCAACTCGAAGTCACTGGCAGACAGGTGGAGGTGTGCTTGGAAGGAAGACAGAGGGGAGGCAGGCGTGGTAAGAAGTGGGCGGTCATGGACCCCAGGCTCCCCAGAACTGGGGCCTCTGCTCTGGACGGCCCAGGAACATGGATAGCTCCCAGCTCCCACAGGTGCTGCTGGACCAGGGGGCAACAGCAGGTCTTTGCAGCCCAGAATGGCACTGAGGGTGTCTTCTTCGCTGTGTTCACAGCCTGGCTACAGGGTGGACGCACCACAGGGCCAACCAACTCCTTCACCCATAATGAAAGCAGGCGCTTCCAGCTGTGGCCACCAGGTCACCCAGTGAGTGTCACTGACAACAAACTGCTCTCCCTGTTCTGAGTACGATGAGGTAGACCTGCACATGCCCACACACCTGCTCACACATGCACACTCCTACACCTGGCACACCCACATGCACCCACACACACCCGCACAGCTGCACACCTCTCACACTCTGCATACACCCACATGCTCCCAACAGCACAACCCACAAACCTGCACAGATACACTTATGCCCACAGGTACCTGCACACACTCACACACCTGCACACATATACCTACACCCACACACCCACACATGCCCACATGCACCCACGTGTACCTGCACGCAGTGCCCCACACTCCCTGTGGCACACACTTTCACACGTGCATACCCACCTGCATACCTGCTGCAGGCACTCCACACACACAATGGCACACCCTGCCCCATAGCCAAGGGCTACTCTGCCTTTCCCAGGCTCCCGGGCTCCGGTATGGAGGCCTTCAGTAAATGCCCAGCCAGGAGAGGGGGCTGCCTCCCCTCCCTGGAAGGGGGCGCTGGCGCCCAGAGGGATGCAACAGCCAACCACAGATAGGCTCAGCCACACACCAGGAGATGGGGCACTGCCTCAGTTTACCCATCTGCAACAAATCCTCAGGGTCCCTTGGGGACCACAGATCCCAGAGTGGCTGGTGGTCCAGAGGCGCTGCACTGAGGCAGGGGTGAGGGCTGGTCCTGCACAGCAGGCCCTACCCCATGGACCAGAGTGTGGCCTTGGCCAGGGGTACAGCTGTGGGCTCTTGTGACGGGCAGCAGTGGTCACTGCAGAGCCCCCATGGAGAACCAAGGGCAGGACTGGTGGCCACACCCAGGCTATGTGGGGAGAGGGGGCAGCACCTCCAGGCCTACCCGGCTGGTCCAGTTTCTTCCAGAGATACACGGGTGTGGTGGCCGCTGCAACTCCTGCCCCTTGTCCTAGCCCTGATGAGCAGTGGCCACCTCAACAGCAGCCATGGAAGGCCCAGGGCCACAGCAAGGGGCTGGGCAGCACCAGCAGCCACGTAGCACCCTCCACAGCAGCTCCTCTGGGGCCCAGGAGCTGGCCACGGGCCCGTGTAAGCAGGAGGCAGAGGCAGGCAGGAACTCCATTCTGCGATCTGGGCTGCCCTCTGACTGCAGCAGGGTCCCACAGCCAGGTGGAGCTGGGCAGTGCCCGGGGTGCAGGCAAGGCCATGGCAGGCCATCCCTGACACCCCCAGACAGCTCACCATTCCTGGACACAGATGGGCCCAAGGAAGGAGGTGGCCACACAGGCCGTGAGCACATCTAGTGCCACAGATATGGCCTTTGACATGGTCAGCAGCAGGTCTATGCTGGGTTTCTGCTGCAGAAAGGGTGAGGGCTGCATGCAGAAGGGTTGAGAGCGGACGGGGCTCGGGGCTGTCTGGGGGCCATGCGCCCCACTCCATTGTGGCTCAGGTTGGGGCGCGAGGAGCTAGAGCACCAGCTCGGCCCAGGGGCCTCCAGACGCCAGCTGGGGTGCCCACCAGGGCCACGTCTGCCAAGCTGGAGGACTCCGGGCTGCACAGCAGGGATGCCCAGGGAGGGACCCTGCCCTGTGAGGTCACATCGTGCACACCACAGGACACTGCTGTACAGTACAAGGTCTGGCCCAAGGGCTGAGGGGAGCGAGCAGGACTCCCACGGAGCCTGTGGATGCCATCCTGCCTTTGCTATGCCAACCCAGGGATGGGCTGGGGGCACAGGACAGGGACAGCCTGTAGGAAAGTGGCACTACTGAGGCCAGGACCGCAGGCTGTGCTGCACTGCGTGGCCGTGGGCTGGGGTTTGCCCGCAGGGAGGACATGCTGGCCCCTCCCACCCTCAGTCCCGTGGCACTCAGGCCCTGCTTTCAGGGGGCCGTGGGGCCGTGCATGTTCTGAACTCTGTGTGCTGCCCACAGGCCTCTCCAGCCGTAGCCCTGCTCCCCAGGGCCTGACGTCTTCTGTGCCCAGTCACTGGAGCCGACGGAAGTCCCCAAGGGGGCAGGCCAGCAGAAGCGCCCACAGCCTAGCAGGGCAGAAACCGTCTCGCCCGGCACCCCAGAAGTCCTTTATTAGGCTGTGTACAGTACTCTGCAGCAGCGACAGGCTCAGCAGAAGCTCAACTCCAGACGTCTCCTGGCTGACCTTCCTGCCCAGAGGACAGCTCGCCCTCTTCCAGGGGCTATGAGGCTCAGGTCTGGCGATCACATGGGAGGTCCCGCTGCCTTGCCCAGCCAGCCCTGAGCAGCCCTCAGGGGCACAGGGGCTGGGCTTTGGTGGGCACAAACTGGCACCTGACACACGGCGGGGCAGGCCCTCAACTCAGCGCTCTACCCCACACCTCAGCTCCTGTGGCGCTCGGGACTCGGGGCTGTGCCAGGGCTGCTGGGCCTCTGTGCCACTGACGTGACAGCCCAGAAGAGCATCCCCACCCCAGGCCACTGCCTACACACAAGGGGACAAGGTCAAAGTCTCTGTCTCATGGCAGAAACCACAGACACAGGCAAAACTGGAGCAAAAGGCCTGGGACTACCGAGAGCTAGTTCTTCACGGACGCAGTGGGCTCTGGGGACTGCAGAAACTCGTAAGGGTCGTGGGTCACGTCCGGCTGCTCCCCAACGCTGAGGTGAGAAGGGCTCCCTGCAAGTGTGAGGGAGCACTGTGTCCACATGACACGGAAACCCACGCTGCCCACTGGCTCCCGGGCGCAGCCCAGCCGCAGCCTGATCACAAGGAGGACTTTCTCCAACGGCCCTGGCAAGCCGGCGTGCATCCTGCTCCCAGAATGCCCCGGCACTCCCTGGCAGCCAGGAGAGGTGCTGGGTGGGCGGCCACCCACGGGGGACGCTGGCTCAGCACGGTGGGCCTGGGCTCTGCCCCCATCCCAGGAGGAGTGAGTCAGAGGGGACAGCAGGATGTGCCTGAGCCAACCCCACGTGCCACTGCAGGGGTGCCCCGCCCAGATGGCGCTGCACTCTGCCCAGCAGAAATGCCCCCCGGGTCCCCCAGAAGAGCGTAGCGCCTGACGGCAGAGGAACCCGCAGGGACAGCTGGACTAGGGCGCACAGCCAGGGCCCCCCATAGCACTGTGGCACCCGCTCAGCTGCACCCACTGAGGCCCTTGGGCACAGAGGCAGAGGCAGCCCGGGCCCCAGCCTGTGGCCTGGCCACCTACCCGGGGGGTGCGGCTCCCTCTCGGAGGCATTGGACAGGGAGCTGAGGTTGGAGGACGGCCGGGAGCCCCCTCGCTCGGCCTGCGCCTCGTGCAGGTCCTGCAGCAGCTTCGTGGTCTCATCCAGGTGCAAGTGGCCATCATCGGGGTCCAGCTCCTTCTTCACCTTCCCTGTGGGGGAGAGAACGGCATGCCCCGGGCTCAGCCGGGCCCACAGCCGGCCCACAGGAGAGGGCCCGGTCAGCTATGGGGGCTGGGGCGCTCACAGTGGAGGGCGCCTAGCTGCAGGACGGGGATGGACAGAAGCTCCAGGACCCTCAGGCCAAGCCCTGTGGGCCAGCCCACTGGGTGCTCAAACCCTGTGAAGAGCCTGGGCCACAACAGGACATCTGGGTTGGGCTCCCACGTGGACCACAGAAAGCCAGCGGCCACACGGGGGCTGGAGAGGGCACCACCCAGCCAGGGAAGAAGTCCCCAGGCCCATCGCTGGGCACACCAGCACCCCACGCACATATGTAATGGCCTGCATCCCGTGGCCGGGCCAGTCAAACCCTCGGAAGGGTGTGGCCAGACAGGGGCCTCCATTGCCTCTACACAAGCGAGGCTGGGGCCTCCCTATGCCTGGAAAGGCTCCAAGGCCTCCAAACCACCTATGGCCACAGAACAAAGGCCACCCATCTGAGCTGTGTGCCCTGGCACCCAGTGGAGTAAACCCTGACACCCAAGAAACGCCCGGACCCTGCCACGTGTGCCCGGGGGACTCTGAGGGAAAGCAGGATGCTCCAGCAGGAGAGAGGGAAGGGACAGTGTCCCAGGAGGCAGGGATGGCCTCAGCACACCCACAGCTCCTGCTGCAGGGGGAGAGGTGGCATCTGAAGTGGTACCCAGGACAGCAGAGCCCACATTCAACAGCCACAGGCCAGGCCAAGCCACTGGGTCCAGCGACACGGAGGCCACCCTCCTGTGAGCCAGATGATCTGTCCAGGGCTCGGGAGGAAAGCCCCTCCTTCCCCACGTGACCTGCACTAGCACCAGGGGTGGGGCTCCGGCCAAGCAGCGCTGCCGTGGACACCAGCAGGGTCCTCCGGTCCACTCCGCTGACTCGACCCCTGGAGCTGCAACAGACTCCACGGTGAGGGCCCATTCTCTGCACTGACCACATCCCAGGCCCATCAGTAAGCCTGCGCTGTGCTGCTGGCTGGCTGGGCCCCCTCCTCGGGAGGCTCCAGAATTTGGGGCCAAGCACTCGTGTCCCATCATGCCACATGGGCAGACACGCAAGAGCCCAAAGGGACGTGCCCAGCATGACTTACCCAGAGAGCTGAGCATGGACATGTCCAGAGAAGCCTCGGAATATGACTTCACTGACATGAAGTCCAGGACAGAGCCGCCGTCCCCCAACGGGTCCCCAGCCTGTGGAGAGGAGCACACTGAGGTACCCAGCACAGTCATACCCTTCCCAGGGCGCCAAGGGACAGCCCTGGCTCTGAAGCTGCCGTCGGGCGACACTGGGCTGCAGCACATAGGTGGACAGACAAGTCCATGTCCAGGGACAAACTCTCAGACTGCCCAGTGCCTGCTGTCACCCAAAGCCAGTGACTTGTCACCTTCCAAGGACTCAGGCATGCTGGGGACGTGGGACCACATCCAAGGTCCCATGGCCATCCCACAGCCAAGCTCCCTTCTCCCCCCAGCAAGGGCCTCCTGGGGAGTCTGCGCCAGCCCAGGGTGCTGTCAGCCCCTGCTGCCCAGCTGCTGCCCTCACACCCAGGCCTACGGCCTCTTCAAGCTCCAGGGGACCCCAGGCCCAACCCACAGCAGATGGCCCGAGATCAAGTCTGCAGGAGCTGTCCTGCCAGCCAGAGGCAGGCTCTGCAGCAAGGGCCCATGGCCCCATTCCACAGGACAGGCCACTCAGGTGCCATGGCCCCTGCCCACCCTGAGGGCAGCACCACAGGCCGGGAAGGAGAGAAGCCCCACAACTCACACTCCCTCAGAAAGAACCTGTTCCCAGAGATGCAGCAGGCGCTGTCCTGCAGCCCCCAGGGCCAGACCCAGCGCTGCCATGCAAAACCTCGTCCAGCTCCGTGTGCACTCGAGAAACCCACCTTTACTTCATCTGCAGGCCTCGGGGGCGCACTTCTTCTCTGCAAAGGAACACAGGTGGACACCCGGTCTTCCAAGGCCATTCTCATGCAGGGCAACCTCTTTACATCACCACAAGCAAGAGCTGCACAGCCCTGGGAGCTCCCCGCCAACTTCACGGCATCCCAGGGGAGGCCAGGTCCCACAGGGCTCCTCAGCTGGCAGCAAAGGCAGCCACCACAGGCCCACACGCCTCTGCCAGCCGAACTCTGTAGCAGTGCTGGGTGGGGGGTGCCTGAAAGGTGGGGAATGCAGGGGCAGAGGGTCCCAAGGCCGTGCCTGCAGCCAAGGATGTTTAAAATAAGCCAGGGACAGCAGCACAAGCAGGCCAGGTGGTTTACCCCAGATGCTGGGTGCCGAGGGGGGTGTGTGCACAGGGCGGGCAGGGCCATGGGCCACGCGTTTCCCACCACCTGCAGTCCTGTGCTCCGACAGGAGCGTTCCCTTGAAAGCATCCTAGCTTTGCACACGTTCCTCAAAACAGTCATTCAGAGTTTGTCCCCACGTCTGTTTCCAGGACGTCTCTGAGCCGACCCTGTCCTACCCACCAGCCTCTCACCAAGCCGGCCCTGTCCCTCCCACCGGCCCCTCACCGAGCCGACCCTGTCCCTCCCACCGGCCCCTCACTGAGTTGACCCTGTTCTTCCCACCTGCCCCTCACTAGCGACCGTCCCAGGCCTTCCCCACACCCTGCAGTGCCTGCCAGACATCCCATCACTCCGTTCTCACACCAATCACCCAGAAGAGCCACTGCTCTGCAGTCCAGAGCCACCCCAGGCCTCAGGAGTCATGTCCCTCCTGCTGTGGCACCCACCTGTAGCAGCACCACCTGCAGAGGGGCTGGCCTCCTGCCAGAGGGACCCTCAGCTGGAGGACTGTGGCCGGGCAGGGCGCAGGGCTGGTGGAGTCCGAGGGACCTGCCTTGAAGCTCCAGCACGCAGATGCCCTCTGTGCCCAGGGCACAGGTGCATCCCAATGTCACCCAGGCCACCAGAGTAGACCAGCAGTGCCACTCCACACCCAGACTAAGCTCCCAGCCAGCCACAAGCGCTGGCCTTCTGCCAAGATGAAAGCCAGCACTCCCCAGGAAGATGACAGAAGGCACCAATTGTGGTTGACAGGCACAGATGCCACACCATCTACTGCAGGACTTCTCGCAGCCACGGTACTCTCAGTGTGTTGGAGACATTTTTATTGGGGCTGGAGATATGTAGCTCAGTTGGTACAGTGCTTGCTTTGCATGCATAAGGCCCTGGGTTCAATCCCAAGTACCACCAAAAAAAAAAAAAAAAAACCACTTTTAACATGAGATCCACACAAAATGACCCACAAGGACTGAGGTGGCTAGTGGTCAAGTGCTTGCCTAACCCGTTCCTAGGTATCCCCAGCCCTCAGGAGATAAGGTTCATAAGTGGAAGGCCTCTATGCCCCTGTCTGTTGTCAGAGTTCTGGGTACAGCTGACCCAGGCCAACCTACACCCCGACTAGCCAGAGGTAACTTCCAGCAGCCACATGTGGCTGCAGACGGTCGCCCAGACTGTGGACACCTTGCATCCAGCCAACACGGCTGGATCCACAGGCCTGCACAGTGGCCGATGGGCCTCTTTCAGGAGCAGCCCCACGGCAGTGTGGTGGGCATTACTGGTGCGGCAGGAGACAGGTGGGAAGGAGAACAGCTGGATTCGCGAGACCACGCGACCTCAGGAAGCCTCGTGGCCTGCAGCAACCAGGGGTTTGCACAAGGCCCAAGAGCAGTTTGGTAAAGTTCCCTTCCCCCCAGCAAGGGCCTCCTGGGGAGTCTGCGCCAGCCCCCTGCTGCCCAGCTGCTGCCCTCACCCCCAGGCCCATGGCAACTGGAAGCCATAGCAACAGAAACTAGTCAGAGCCAAACCAACCACACACTCACACAAGACCACGATACGCAGGGGGCGGGGAGCACTAGCAGCAGCTGAGCTGACACCAGGGCATCCAAGTCGTGCTGGGACCCAGGAAAGGCAAGAGGCACCAGCAGGAGGTGAGAGAGCAGGCGGGGACTGTCACCTTGAGGCACAGGCCGGGCGTGGCAAACCCAGGGCGTGGCACACCCCAGCAGGAGCCTGACAGCGGGCAGACGCAGGTGTAGCCCTGCAGCCAGAGGGCAGCAGTCCTGGAGCTGCCCGCCACACCCAGCCTCCTGTTTAAAAGGCATGTGCACCCTTGGCCTGGGGCAGCAGGAAGCTGGGGACGCTGCAGGGGCTGCAGCCTGAGACCCAGAGCCTGAAGAAAACACATCGGAACAAAACACAAAGCGGACCCCAGAGCTGGGATCCTGTCCCTCAGACAGCGGTTCAGAGACAAGGCAAAGGCAAGCCCTCCAGGCCAACCCAGGGGCCTCGCCTCGACAGGTGAGGACCACCAGACCCCAGGCTGCAGGAGCCCCACAGGTTGCTGCAAGAGAAGCTCAGGGCCCTGTCCAGGGCAGGACAGGAGCTCCAAAAGGGGGCCCGCGCGGCCAGTGTCCTCAGGAGACAACTCCTGGTGCAGAGCACACTGTCACCCAAGGACACAGCAGGGTGGACGAGCCCCTTCCCTGGGCCGTGCCACACGCACAACCCACCTGCTTCAGATGGAAGAGCGCCCTCGAGTGGTCTCCTCCCGTGATCTGGTCCAGGAGGTCATCTACCATTCTCTTGCTGTAGCTCCCAGCGTCCTTCACAAACTCCTGCAGGCTAAAGGGGACCGTGAGACAGTGTGCTCAAGGCCCTGTCTACCCTCAAGGACTGCTGCCCACCAGAGTCCTCCAGATCAACCCAAGGGGCCTTGGAGGTGAAGATCACCAGGAGCAAACCAAGTCAGGGAATGGTAAACACATGACCGTCCCACAGACTGGCCACCTCCACCAGCCTGGAGGACGCCGTGCCTGTGGGGTGGGGCTAAAAGCACAGCACGCCAGATGGCCACAGGGGAGGTGGTGAAGCATGTGGCAGTGCCCCAGCAGACTGGTCGCCCTGGAGAGGCTTCCCATACAGCGGTGAAGCAAGGCCCTGAGCACACAGCTCCTCAGTAGCCGCCCAGGTCAGGTCCTCTCTAGTGATGACCTGCGGCAGGCTGGGGCACTGCTGAGAGCCAGAGGAGACTGCTGCCCCGCTCCCGTGGCCACTCCAAGGGCCAGCCTGGGCAGGCCATGCCTACCTCAGCGCGCACTGCACGCCCGTCTCGTCTCCGTAGGCCGAGTACAGCAGCTCTGCCTCATCTGACTTTAAGTCACCAAACACAGAGTTGTTCTGCAGGGACAACGCAGTGCTGGCACTGGACAGGAACGTGACTAGAAAGGGGACAGTGGGACATCAGAGCCAAGCCCTAGGCACCTCTGTTCCTGGTGGTAGCCGTCCCTGCTGGGCCAGCTCAACGCCACAAGGACGTCACCCACAGACACCAGGGCCCTCCTGCCATGTGGCCAAGAGAACGCCTCTGGACACTGAAGTCCCTGCAACTGACAACTGCACTGGAGGCAGGCGCAGCAGTGTCCCCAACACAGGCGTGAAGGGCAGGAGTGCGGGGAGGGAGGTGCTGCTCGGCATGGTGTATGCCCGGAGCACAGGGAGGACGGGGACACTGGGGCTGAGAAGGCACTCCAGCAGGCGATGCACTCCAGCCCAGGCTGTGCCATCAGCAGAGGGACACGCGTGAGGCTGAGGTGGGGCCGAGATGGGAATGGAGAGTTCTCCCCAGGGCAGACTGGAGTTGAGCCCATGGGGCCCTGCAGATAGCACAGTGACCACAGGAAGGGAAGGAGGACAGGGACGCATCCTGACCCCAGAAAGGGACAGAAAACAGAAGAAACCCTACAACCAGGGGGTGCAGATCAGTGCTCAACGCACGCTCTGAAACAGGGCTGCACCTCAAGCCCGTAAGGAGAGGCCGAAGTGTGGCAGGGAGGACGGGGCGTGGCGGGGCTGCGGCCAGCTGGCACACCTTTGCTTCTTCTCTCGTCTTTGAAGCCCAGCGTCGTGAAGCCTGGGAGCAGCTTGCTGGAGAGCGAGCTCAGGTCCACAGGGTGCGTCTCCTCTTCTGCAGGAAGACGGGAGGTGTGGGCAGGCAACCGGCAGCCGGCAGGCCCAGCCAGGACGGCTTGCGGGCTGACCTGGGCTCTCGCGGCTGCTTCTCCGCTCCCACTCTCACCACCCCCAGGGCAACAGCATCAAGAGGCCCGTCTTGGCCTGGCCACGCAGGCTCCCCACAGCACTCACGCAGGGCCAGAGCCCAGAGGAAGCCTCGCCCACCCTGCCCACGGCCAAGCAGCGGCAGCCACCACAGCTTGCTGCCAGCTGCACGTCTGCTAGCCACCTCACTCCCGCCACCCGGACTCGGAGCAGATCCCTGCACTCCCGACAGCCACGTATCCCGGCACTGTCTGACCTAGGTACCAATGGCCTCACCTGTTCTCTTACAGAACACTGCGGTCACCCCAGCTAAGCATTAGAGGTTGGAGTGACGTCCTATACACATTGGAGAACACCAGTCAACCTGCTAACATGGCTGGGCGAGGCAGTGCCACAAGGTGTGTGGGCACCTGGGCAGGCTGTGGGGAAGCCAAGCCAGCGTGGCCACATACCACCCTCCCCACGTGCTGCAGGTGCGTCCGGATCCCAGTGAACCAGGCGTGGGGCAGTCTCCCCTCCTGCCTGGGGATGCTTCCTGGGGCCAGAGCACCCACCAGGCGGGGGCCCAGCCCTCTCACCTGCTGTGACCGTCCCTGCTACTCTGTTGGAGCTCAGCAGGCCGGTGCCTCCCAAGTCCCAACCATGAGGCTGACTGGCCTCCCTGCACACATGCGGCACCTAGGTGCATGCAGAGTAGGAAGCCAGGCAGCTGTGATGCTGACCCTTCACCAGCAGCACGGACATATGGCCCAGTGACATGGGCTTTGCATCACTGAGCCTGCACAGGGGTCAAAGGGCAAAGGTCAGGCAACTGAAAATCAGACCCTGGGTGGGACACCCACCATCGGCATCTGGCTCGGCTGCATTCACCACGCTGTAAAGCAGGCTTCCGTCTCCAAGCTTCCTCAGGTAGCCCATCTGCAAGGAAACAGCACCTGAGCATGCCCTGGGACAGCACCCCACAATGGAGGGCAGCAGGAGCCAGTCTTTGCCACGTGGTTAGAGAGTGCAGCGGCCTCTGGTGTGGGGCGGACGCAGAGTTTTTGGTGGAGAGCATGTCCGAGTTGAGGCCAACCCAGGTCCATGCAGATCCATCAGGAGCCCTGTGCCCACGTGTTTCCAGCTCTGCCAGAGGCCTCGCCCAGCACCTGGTGCCCAACCTGCGTGCAGACCCGCCTGCCCAGCAGAACTGAGCCTGACCACACAGCAATCCTGGCTCGGACGGAGCAGCCTGAGGTCCCTGGACCACCACCCAACACCATCACTTAGCTTTCTACTTCTGACTGTTTGGTACTGGGACTGAACCCCGGGGCATCTACGTGAGCTACACCCCAGCCCTTCTGTTTTTTGTTTGAGACAGGGTCTTGCCAAGTGGCTGGGGTTTCTCCAAGTTGCCCAGCTGGCCTTGAACTTGCCATCCTCCTGCCTTAGCTTCTCTGTCACTGGGGTCCCAGGCGTGGGCCACACCCGGTGTGTTTAAGCTTCCTCGCGTGCCATCAGCGTGCACTCTCGAGAGTCCTCCCAGACCAGGCGATGGCAAGACTGGGAGCCAGGGGCGCAGGACTCGGGAGCTAGGCAGCACGTGCTCGACCATGCGGACGCACTGGGCCACACACAGGCAGAACAGGGGCAGGGGCAGTGGAGCAAACAGCGCCGGAGCTACTGCCACTGCACAGGCAGACCAGGGCAAGTGAGGAGCACCCTGTCAGGGACATTCGAACACTCCCTGCAAAGAGGCCTGGCCGGCGGGGAGGCTAGTGGGTAGGGTGCACACCAAGCGATGAGAAGACGGGACGGGCACTACGTGGTGAGGGGTGCATCGTGGCTACTGGTGGCCCTGCCAACGGGCCACACTGGGGCCTTTCTGAGGAAATAAGGCCAGGAGGACCAAGGAGCTGGTGTGCCCTCTGACCTGGACTCTCCCAAGATAAAGGGCAGTGCTGCGGCCTGAGCGGTCCCCTCGCAAGGCACTGTAGGGCTGTGGTGGTATCCTCCTGACTCTGAGGGCCGTGCTTGTGACACACACGAATGCCTGGGCCAGGGGCCGGGGCACTACCTTGCCACCCGGGAGGAACCGGCTGATCCTGTCCCGGGCTTCATCGGCCGCGTGCTCCACCAGGGCAAGCACATGCTCCTCCGCTGTGCTGTCTGTCAGGCTGCAGGCATTCCCCTCAGGCTCGAACATGCAGCTGCAGGGCAGGGACACCAGGCGTCAGACGCTCCGCCCAGCATGCCCCACGCACAGGCTGGCAGCTTGTGGCCTGGGCCCCTTTAAGCCCCAGGCACCTCTCACACCTCTACCCAAAGACAAGGCTCCTGTGGGAATGGGCGGGGGGTGTCGTGTGCAGAGCACCTGCTCCCAGTCCAGCTTAAGGAGCACTCCCCTAAAGCACAAGGAGAGAGGGACAGCATTCTCATCCAAGGCACCACGGGAGCCACAGACCAGGGGCTGAGCACCACGCACGGGCAGAGCTAGGTGTGGCTGTCAGCAGGTCTGGACCCAGAGCAGCGTAGCCAGGGTCCCGGGGCAGAGGACATCTGGCCGAGTGGCTGAGAGCCCTGCCTCCTGCAGAAGTCGAAGCAGATGCAGGGCCTCCCCCTGTGTAGGGCAGGGGTCTGAATGGCTGAGAGCTGCTTGCAGCAGGGGCAGGTCCTATGTGAGGGTGTCCCTCTCAGTCACTACCACGACAGCACCCTGGAAACCCATCACGGGAAGGATGTCATAGAGAGCCACAGTGCAGGGCTCCATAGCACTGGGCTGACACTCAGGCACGGCCTATGACACAACCCGACAAGGCCCCGCCTGAGGTGACAAGCCAGCACCAGCGCGAGGCCCCGCCTGAGATCTGGATGTTCGGAGACTTTCTGCAGGTCTGAGCCCTGAGCAGAAGGCCAGGCACCCACAAGGCAGCTGGTGTCCTGCAGGGAGACGACAGAAGGCACTGGAGCACACCGGTCTGCACTGGGAATCGCGCCCTCCGTCCTCTCAACCTTGTGACCCAGGCCACTAGAGGAGGTACGCAGCACAGACACTCAGCCCTGGCCAGCTGGGTGTCCCCACTCTGTGCAACTTGGGTGTGTTCTGCATCTGTGGCTCAAAGCAGAGCCACGAGGTCACGGGCCAGATGTGCTGGTGAGGAAACAGCTCACAAGGGTTCCCGCGAGGCCTCAGCAGGTGCTGCCGCAGGGGACTGCACCGCGCCAGCCTCCATGCTCAGCCTCCTAAGACCAACTGCACTGTGAAACTCCAGGCCTGGGCACAAAGAGGAGGGCCCCCTGGAGGACCTCTAGTCAGCTGCAACCTGCAGTGCCCACCTGCTTCCTGACCACCAGGCTGCCCTTCCCTCCAGTCCAGCATCTATGCAGCCACAGAGGCAGCACAGAGAGCCTGTCTTGTGGCAAGACAAAACTCTCCATGAGTGCTGGCTACCCAGAGCGGGCCACCGAGCCTCCCGTACGCAGGGACAGGCACAGCAGAGGCCATCAGCAGATGCTTGTCCAGGGGCTGCCCCAGGAGTGGCCAAGAAATATCACACCAACAGAATGGAAGGCACTTCAATGGCCAGTCGGTGCATGTGTTGCAGGCCTGGCCAGAGGGCCCCATGCCACGCCTGGGCCAGCACAAGGCACCAGCCTCAACATGGCCTCCTGCCTCCCGTGTCCACCAGAGGCGGGCATTGCTGTGGAGAGCAGGACGGTGAATAACAGCGTGTGCTAGGCAACCACAGCACACTACGGAAGTGACCCGAGGACCCTGGTCCACAGGCTGCTCTGAGACATGGCCAAGGCCACCCATGCAGGGGCCCTTATCCTCCTCACGCTGCAGGCCAGCAGGGAAGGCCGTGCTGAGTCCGCCCGGTGCCTGGCAGGACCCGCAGGCTTCGAGCAGCTGCCTCCTTGCAGAAGCTCCTGCCAGTCTCCACCTGGCCACCTGCAGTCTCTCCTCTCTGGGGCCCGCCCCGGAGCCTCACCTGATGGCTTCTCTACTCGGCTTTTTGGACTTCTTGGCAGTTTCTACTTGTACAGGCACAGCCTCAGGAACGGGCTCCTCAACGGCCGCGTCCTCACTGCCCAAGAGAGCTGCCTGCTGAGAGAAATCCATGTCCTGCATAAACGACATGCTGCGCTTCAAAGCTAACAGCCGCTCCTAGAATCAGAAAGGACAGAGCAGCGGACTTTACCTCTCCCTCACAGCCACAGGGCCATGACGATGGGATGGGATGGTGGCCACCGCCTCACCTGGCCCACAGCTAGCTCCCAGCACAGCAGTGCCAGTGGGCACGGGCTCAGCACCAAGGGATGCAGCCCAGAGCCCATGGGGGAACAACCAGAGCCAACAAGCAGCCCCCACGGGCAGGGGACACTGCAGGCAGACCTGGGAGGCCCCTCGTCCCGTGGGACAGTGCCCTGCCAGGCACACCCACGGCAGCACTGCAGTCGGCCCAGCGCAGGACCTCCACCCCCAGCCCTCACAGCTACTCTGCGCAGGAAAGGGAGCCCAGCAGAGGCCGCCAGGCAGGGCGGCGGGCGAGGCGGATGAATGGGTGTCACTCGCCGTGCTTCTGTCACACGGAAGCCACAGTGTGGTCTGGCCCTCGGGCCACCGTCGGAGGCCCCTTACTTTGCTCATCATCTTAAAGCCGGCATGGAGGATCTTCTTGGCCAACTTGTAGTACACGGTGTCAGGCCGGTTATAGGTCATCGCGTTGTCACACATCAGCTTAAAGTCTGCCTGGAGAGAGCAGCAGGTCAGAGGGCTCCTCAGGCTGGAGGTGCCACGTGAACAGGAGCCCAGGAAGAGCTAGGGATGAGTGGGGTTTAGTCCTCTCCACCCTGTGATCTGAACAGCAATTTTCAAGAACTCAGAGCCATGCGCAGTTTTTCATGGGTCTGTGTTTGTTGAAGATTCCCCGTGAAAAGCGGGCACTGTTTCTGACTCCCTGGCGTGTTTGTGAGGGACACGGGCCACTGTCTCTGACCTCCCTGGGCATGACACGTGTGTCTGAGAGGGACACAGGCAGGTCCCCTGCTTCCCCCTCCAGCCCACCTCTCTCCAGCAGGGATATGGACCAAGACAGGACTTGGCAGCAATGTTAAGTTCTTTTGGGTAGAACTAAGGGACAAGGTGACAGCGGGCACCATGATTCCTCTGCTTCCAAGGTCTCTCCAAGCAGGGAACTTGGAATGCCATCTACAAGATTCCTAAAACTATTAGAAAGATGTCCCCCAGGTGAGGAGAGCCTCGCTGAGCAGCTCTCACCCAGAGATGCTGGCATGCCTGTCACCACAGATCCCTGGGCACCTGCCTCCCACAGTGAGGGGCACTGGAGGCGTCCACTGGCTGGCAGCACGCCACCTGTGTTCTTGACAGAGCACGGGCCTGGGTCTCCCACCAGCGCTCTGCCAGTGTCCCCAGGGAAGTGAGGCAGTGCAGCCAACACACCTCCAGGCCATCAGCTCTGGATGATGCCTGACGGAGTGCTGCCCCTCTGCCCTCAGCCAGCAACTCGCAGACCCCAGGCTGGGACCTGGGGAGGACCTGAGGAGGACCTGGGGAGGGCAGTGCTTCACGCCTGGCCCTGGCCTCGTTGGTCTCTCCCAGGAAGCCCCTCCACCCACCTTTCCTGCACTGCTGTGGTGAGCACCAAGCCAGCCCACTCTGCAGCTCTCCAGAGGTACCCCAGATGCAGCCCAGAGCCAGTATGGCCTGTGTTCCTCCTGCCTCGCCAGGGGCAAGTTCAAACTCACCAGGAGCCAAGAACAGAGCTTCCAGGAGAAACACGCATTCCCAAAAGAATAAAATCAAACACACAGGACAAAACTGGAATCAAGGAGATCATGCTGCTCCCAATGCCCACTGTGAGCCAGGCCACCCAGACACACTCCTCATACCTGTGGGACAAGCCCTGTGTGACCAGCGCGATGACCTAAGGTCTCTGACCACCCACAGCACACAGCTCAGCCTCCGACCCAATGCAGGGAAGGCCAACCTACTTCCTTCCTGTTGTCTGTGGACCCCCAGGACCCTGCCCACGGACACGTCCAGCTACGCTGAGCCGAGGTGAGCGAGAGGTGTGCCAGAAAGCACGGGCTTACCTTGAATTCTGTGACCGACTTGTACTCGTTGGCCACGATCTTGTCCTTCATCGTGCCGAAGTCCATTGGGTGTTTTATTATCATCGAATATCCAGGAGCGATTGCATCCGTGACAGGAAAAGCAAAAAACCCATGAGGGTCTTTTCTGAAAGCAAAGACGCCTTTAAAGAGGACAAACTTTAAACCTAGATTTCTAAGCCACACAAAGATCCTCGCGATCAGAAAACTTACAACTGACCAGGTTGAACTTTGCTTCCCAAAGGTAGAGCCCACCCTGCGCCTTCAGGCTGTGACAGCCTCTGGAGCAGGACACACTCCTGCCTCAGTTCCCACCTCCAGGCTGCACTCTGGCCCCAGCCCTGCCCTCATCTCGCAGATCTTCCCACCCTGGCCGGACTGCGAGCCCCCTGGGAAGGCACACGACAGGGCAGGGGACGCTGTGGACGGAAGACAGAGCTCACCTCTGCAGCTGGCGGAGGAAGTGCTCCAGGAGCTGCTGGATGGGCGTGCTCTCGGTCTCCGCTGCCCATCAGAAAGAAAGCAGAGACAAGCCACGTGAGGCTGGGCCCTCACCTCCCAGCACTTCAAGTCCAAGCAAGAATGTGCACACAGACAACTCAGACTCCGCGGCTCCTGTCGGCTAGCTGGGTGGAAGGGGTGCCCACAACACCCGTCTCAGACCCCTACCTCAGCAGCACAGACCTGCCACTCAGGCTGTTCCCAGCTCAGACTCAACTGGGCCTGGCGCATCCTGGGCAAGGGCCTGAAGCATGGGCCTGGACATGCCATACAAAGTTCTCCTGAGGACAACAGCGGTACCTACGGCTCTGGCTGTGATGCTCTTGAGCGAGCAGGGTGCACCACGTAGCACCCATCACTAACCCTGGCGGCACCCTGGGGCTGCGCTGGCTGCAGGCCCTCCCACAGGCAGTGACATCTCTCAGGCCACAATGTTCAGCAAACTGTGAAGCCTGACTGCTGCTTCATGCCTACTGCCTACAGTCCCCACAAACTGGAGGAGGCCAAGGAAAAAGATCCCCGAGAGACAGCCGCACAGGTGAGTCACAAGCTCTGCAGAATTGGCCTCTGGGCAGCCATACCACATGGCTCCTAATGGTCTGAAAAACCCAGCAGTAGCCTCCTTGTCATGTCCCAAATGTCCCACCCAGCTGCCTCAGTTTCCCAGCTGTCTGGGAAGCACAGGATGCCAACTTCTGTAGGATATCTGGGGATGCAGGTCCAAAGGAAAGACCATGAGTGGGGAACTCCAGCCAGACACCAGCCCTGGCACACAGCCCAGGGCAGGAGCTAACTGAAGACCACCCCAGCCTCCTTCACTTCAGTTGCAGCCATCTGAAGGGAGTCCAGACCCACCTAGGTACTTTCTCCCAGGGGACTACCCACTTCCACTGAACTGCCCATGTCTAGAGTGAGATCAACTTGGGGATCACTCACCTGACAGTCTCCATGAGGAGCAACAAGGCAGACAAAAGCAAACTTTTAGACTCAAAATTGGCCGGATATTTCTGTGAAGGCCAGATAAAACAATCTAGTAGTGAGGTCACACACCTCAAGTCTCTGAGGCACCTGTCTTTTTCTTTTCGTGTTGAAAAGTGAATAAATCATGCTTAGCTTGTGGGTTAAAGGGTTTTTAAAGGCCACAGGCAGTAAGTGGCCAACTGATCTGGATGAGGGTGGGAACCCCGGGTCCAGGGCACGCTGGCATGGGCCCAGGAGAGCACCAGCCTCTCCCAAGAGGCTCCCTGAACAAGAGCCACCCGTATCTTGCCTGGCTGTGTCCGGCAAGCTCGCACCGGCCGATCTGGGGGTGGCTCCACCTCCACCTTCTTTCCAGGGTCGAAGTCATCTGCCTCTCCCTCTGTGTCACAGTGCTCCTTCTCCCTCTTCCGCTTCTTCTCCTCCTGTGAGGCAGGCAGAGCGACAGCTGCACTGCGTCTCGCCCCGCCTAAGCAGGAGACGCATGCCTCTGCCTCAGTCCAGGGGACGCCCCTCCCGAGACCCTGCCACAGGGCAGCCAAGGACCAGCCCCAGGTGCCCACAGCAAGCCACTGGCCTGTGGTCTGCAGCTCCTGCAGCCCTGCAGCAGTCCCAGCCATGACCCCACCTTCCGCTTTCTCCTCTCCTCGTCATCTGGATGCTTCTCCTTCTCTGACTTCTTCTTCTTTTTCTTCTTCTTCTCTCTGTGTCTCTCCCGCTCGTGATCTGACCGGTCCTCGTAGTAGCTGGAGTCATGGCCTGAGCCTGAGAGCTCGGTCACCTCGCTCCCGCCCACCTTGAGCACCAGCTTCAGAGGCTTCTCCAGTGGAGCATCTGCATAATCTGCAACAGGCCAGGGCCGCTGAGTGCTCAGCACGTGCAGGACCCACAGCCCCAGAGGTCGGTGGCCCCAGGGTAAGGCCGAGGAGCTGCCAGAACCCCGGGCAAAGGCAGCTGGGCAGTGCTCCTCCCTCCACTGGAAGCCCATTACCATGCAGGGAAGGAACAAGGCCAGGTTCCCTTACCAGCAGCCCCTCCCCTTGCTGCAGCTGTAGGTCACACCCCCACCAGTCAGAGGAGCTGCTGCTGGCAGAGGGAGGGGAAGGCAGGTAGGGAAAGGGCAGGAGAGGTGATCCCCTGGCAAGGCAGCAAGGGTGCTCTAGGGCAGGTGACCCGGGACCAGCCAATTTTGAGGGACACCAACCTGGATCCCCCATCCTTAGCCTAGGTTCTTCTCCCATGCCCTCTCCCCAGAGCCTGGGAACCCACTTAGGCCTCTCTGCCCAAGCCTGCCACCTAGCCCAGGACCTCAGGACCCTTCTCCACCCACTCCTGAACCCCCGGACCTGCCCTGCCCAATCCTGCGACCCCTGCCCAGGTCCCCATTACACCCTCCCAGCCCAAGACCCCGAACCCTCCCTGTCCAGGCCCCCAGGGCCCCGGCACCCTCCCCACCCAGGCCCCCCCCCCCCAGCACCCTCCACACCCCGGACCCCAGCATCTCCCCGTCCAGGCCCCCAGCGCCCCGGCACCCTCCCTACCCAGGCCCCTCCCCCGCAGGCCCCCAGGCCCCTCTCTGCCCAGGACCCCAGCACCTCGCCGTCCAGGCCCCCAGAGCCCCACCCTCCCCGCCCAGGCCCCCGGCACCCTCGCCGCGCACCCTCGTAGGACGAGCGCCATTCAGCCTTGTGCTTCTTGTGCTTCTTGCCCATGACAGCGGCGGCGGCGGGCCCGCGCCCGCCGGAAGTGGCTCCGGAAGTGGCTCCGCAGCCGCCGAGCGCTTCCGGGTCAGGGAGCGGCGCTCCGCGCGCGGCAGATTCGAAGCGGCGCGGGGAATGGACGAGGCGGTGGGCGACCTGAAGCAGGCGCTGCCCTGCGTGGCCGAGGCGCCCGCCGTGCACGTGGAGGTGCTGCAGCGCGGCGGCAGGTGTGCGGCCAGGGCGGGGGCCGGGACCCCGAGTACCTGCACGGGACTCCAGGGACAGGGGACCTCGGGGAATGGGAGCCGGGATCCTCTAGTACCTGCAGGGCGCCCCCGGGCGGGGGCCGGGACCCCCAGTACCTGCAGGTGACCCTGGGGCGGGGTGCCGAGACCCAGAGTACCTGCATGGGACTCCAGGGGTGGGGGACTCCAGGGACAGGGGCCGAAATCCTACCTGTGCGGGGCCTCCAGGGGCGGGGCTGGAACCCTTCAGTACCTGCACAGGACTCCAGTGGGCCAGGTACCAGGACCCCTGTACCTGCACCCCACTACCTCCAGCAGGTTCCTCAGTGTGCTGGGGCAGTGCCAGGCAGGTGCAGAGCCTAGGCTGCAGGAGAGGGGAAGCCTGGGGAGGACGTGGATGGTGGCATGGTGGGCTGAGGGGAGCCTGGAGCTGGCCGAGCACCTCAGCCACAGGTGTGAGGCTCTTGCTGTGCCAGAACAAGCAATGGCCACCCTGTGTAAGTGCTCACCCGTTCTGGCCTTCCTCTGGCACTGCTGATCTTCAAGGTAACTGTATGGCAAGGCCTCCTGGTATCACCCCCTTTGTCCAGTGGGGAACTGAGGGTGGCTTCCTGAGGTCACATAGCTGCAGTGGAGCTGTAGGCTGGGGGTGGCCCTGGAGTTGATCCCCAGGCAGGCCACCCCCAGCCAGTTCTTGACTAATGGCTTTTTTCTGAGCAGTCTGTTTTTGAAATTTTAAGAATGCCCTTGTGGCTCAGATCTGTTGTGTGCTGTGTGTTTTCCCAGCACTGCAAAGAAAGAAGACATTAAGCTGAGCGTCCGGAAGCTGCTCAACAGGCACAACATCGTGTTTGGTGACTACACGTGGACCGAGTTTGATGAACCTTTTCTGACCAGAAATGTGCAGTCTGTGTCCATAGTTGACACAGAGCTGAAGGCTAAAGACCCCCAGGTAACTTACTGGTCCACAGTGTCAGGAGCAGTTAACCCTCAGCCAGATACAGGATTGGTGTCATGAATCTCTGTTGCTGTTGATAGCGTTTCACTTGCTTATCTGTTGGTTCTGACTGTCTCTCCTGGAACCGGGTGCTGGGGCAGGACATGGCCTGGTGTCAGGAGGCTGTGGGTGCAGTGGGGCCCAGATGGGAATCGAAGCACTGGGATGCTGTACTGCAGGCCAGTGGGCTGTCCTGGTGAGCCTTGGGTTTAGGTGCTGGGTGAAGGCGTCAGGACCCCAGGAGGTGTAGGGGCCGGGGGCTGGGGCGGGGGGGGGGGGGGGTCCTGCTCAACAGCTGCCATACCCAGCATCTTTCCAAGGTCATGTGCTCCCACATGTGTAAGCTTTTTGTGGGTGCGGTGCAAACTGGGCAGTCCTGTTATCAGTAGAACCAGAAACGCATCCCTAAGGAGACAGCCCTGCTCGGCACTGTGCAACTCTTGCCCTTAAAGAGGGCTTGGCACTAGAACTGTGTGCGTGACGAGGACCTCCGCACTCGGCTGCTAGGCTGGTGTTAGTGGCTCAGCATCCTCATCCAATCCTGCGAGAAATCATTCGACCTTTCCTAGCTGGAGGACAGTCGAGAGGAAACCTGCTGGCAAGAGGACAGCAAGCCCCACGTGCGAGGGCTGAGCCTGGCCCGGCGTGTCCGAGAGTGCGGCTTCGCTGGGTTGAGACGCGAGCGCTTTCCTCAAGGGCTTGTGTCACTTGGCAGTGATTAAAAAACAGGACAGCAAAGTTGATACATGACCCAGCCCAAAGGGGAGGAATGGATTTACCCTAGACCTGAAGTAAGGCCACAGCTCTCCACCCACCCTGAGTAGGGGCTTTCATCGCACTGTGCTGTCGACCGAGGACCTCGGCCTTCCTGTGTGTGGCCGGCCTCGGGACTGACCGGCTCTCCCCCCACAGCCCATTGACTTGCGTGCCTGTGCGGTCATGCTCCACATCTTCCAGCTTAATGAAGACGGCCCCAGCAGCGAGAACCTGGAGGAGGAGACAGAAAATATCATCGCAGCAAACCACTGGGTGCTGCCTGCAGGTACAGGCCAGGGGGCTGGGGCTGAGGGGCCAGGTGGCAGGGTGGCCTGCGGGACTCGCTGAGCCAGTTCACTGAGGTCCGTTCGTCAGTTTTGTAGAACTGTAGGAAATCTCATCTCCTTTGAAGTGCAGAGCGTGGCGCTGTGTTGGCTTCCTGTTACTGCAATTAATACCTGAAACAGTGAACTTGCAAGAGACAGAGTATGTTGGGCTCAGGTCTTGGGCTCAGGCCATGACAGGTGGCCCCTTACCTGGGGGCTGGGGTGTGGCAACATGCCACAGCTGGCAAGGTGTGGCAGAGCAGCCACTCGCTCCACGGCTAGCTAAAAAGATAGCAGGAGACCCAGGGCCCACAGTCCCCTTCCCCAGCACACCTCCCCCTGGGCCCATGTCTTAAAGGCCCCGCCACCCCCTGGTGGCACCCAGCTGAGGATCAAGCCTTCAGCGTGGCCTTTGAGGGATGTAGCATGTTCATGCTCCAGCAATTACACACAAGGATGTGGCACTCCCCATGTGTCTGCCTTGTCCTCAGGGTACCCTGTCCTGCTCTTCCCTGCCCAGCTGGTCTCCCCTCTGAGAGCTCCTTCTACCCTCTGCATGCTCTGCTGTGGACTCCAGAGGTGGAGCTCAGGGTTGGCTTCCCAGCGGCACCCTGTTTGTGGGGGGGAGCGCACGTTAAAGAAGAGGGGGATGATAGCGAGACGGGGGACACGTTCTTCTCCTTCCAGTCACCTGGCAAAAGCCATCTGACTGGCGCTTGTTTTGGATCTTTAACCCAAGAAAGGTTGGGCTTTGAAGGAAAGTGTGGACGCTGCCCGGCCTGCTGGCACCCTGGCCTGCCCCGGGAGAAGGCCTGGAGGGCCGCGGGCTTGGGCCAGCCCGACAGGCCGGGGTGGTCTTCCTAACTCCCGCTTGCTTCTGTCTCACAGCTGAGTTCCATGGGCTCTGGGACAGCCTGGTGTACGACGTGGAGGTCAAGTCGCACGTAAGTCGCCTCCTTGGAGGAGGCGCGGCTGCCACCTGCAGTCCCTGAGCCATCAGCTCGAGAGGCACTGGGGCTCCTTGCTCCAGCACTGCCCTAAAAGCACAGAGCTGATCTCCAGGCAGCTCCCTGAGGAGGAGAGGGGAAGGAAGTGGCTGGAGGGGGGCAGGCGCAGACCAGGGCCTGTGTGGTCTCCCAGGGGGCACGCTAGGGGCTCACCTGACCCTGCACATGCCTGTGGGCCCTGCCCATCACTGGAGGGAGGCCTGTTGGCTGGTGACCCTGCACAGTTTGTTCTCTGCGGCATTTTAAGTGACAGCGGGTATTTGTCCGTAGCGTGTACAGTCACGACCACCCTACCTCGTGGCTCCTCCTATCGGGAGAGCCAGGTGGCTGCTGCATGTTGGGAACGGTGTCCAGCCAGGTGGCTGCTGTCCCAGCCCTTGCTTGGGTGTGCTTGGTGGGGAGCCTCATCTGCACCCTCTCGCACCAGCTCCTGGATTACGTGACGACGACCTTGCTGTTCTCAGACAAGAACGTGGACAGCAACCTCATCACCTGGAACCGCGTGGTGCTGCTGCACGGTAAGCCACGTCCACACCTGCTGGCAAGCACGCCCCAGCCACCTCCCCACGCTGGCGTTCCTGCCCACCCCCGTCCTGTCCTTGTCTGAACGGGGCTCCCAGCTCCCGTTCTTGGTGTTTGGGGTTTGAAGACCTCTATTTTATTTATTTTTATGTGGCGCTTTGAACCCAGTGCCTCACACGTGCGAGGCAAGTAAGTGCTCTGCCACTGAGCCCCAGCCCCAGCCTCTGTCCTTGGCATATGATTGACCCTTGTCCCCCAGCTGACTACAGCTCTTGGGACGAGCCGCCTGGTCTCTCTCGGCGGTGTTCTGGGAGCTGCACATAGTGGGCCTAGACTGAAAGGCCGTGTGTGTAAGACATTGTGTCAGGTCTTAGGAGAACACCTCGGGAGTTTGTTTTCTTCCCGATGTCCTAGGTAGAAGAGGACAAAGTGGCTGAGGCCAAGTCATGGTGAGGTGCAGCCTCAGTGCTCAGCCTCCTTGTGCCGGTGAAGACCGTGAGGCATCCACAGCCTCTGAGCACCCTTAACCAGTGGACACCCATGCTGCCCTAGAGGGCCAGGGAGCCAGTTGGCAGGCACCTCCAACAGGGCAGTAGTGGGCCTTCTGCCGGGTGCCACTTCGCGGGCTCTGTGGCAATCACAGACTGATAGGTGGGCAGACCTCCACCCCAAGGTTGGGTTGGTTTCCCGTCCCCTCAGAGCTCCTCTGTGTGGTGCAGGGGACAGGGGAAGGGCAGGTCCTGGCCACGCTCTGTCTTCCTGTCCCCCTCAGAGCTCCTCTGTGTGGTGCAGGGGACAGGGGAAGGGCAGGTCCTGGCCACGCTCTGTCTTCCTGTCCCCCTCAGAGCTCCTCTGTGTGGTGCAGGGGACAGGGGAAGGGCAGGTCCTGGCCACGCTCTGTCTCCCCGTCCCCTCAGAGCTCCTCTGCGAGGTGCAGGGGACAGGGGAAGGGCAGGTCCTGGCTGCGGTGTCACTCACGTCGCCTGACACTGAGGACATGGACCTCTGGAGGGAAGGCTTGTTTGGGGCAGAGAGTGGCGCTGTTGGCAGAGGGAGCAGAGGCCTGAGAAGGGTGTGCCTGGGTGTGGAGGGCACCCGTGGACCAGCCTGGCACAGAGGCGGCCTCCACAGAGGAGCTGCTCACAGGCCTCATCGGGGA